CAAACCCCCCCCACCGCCCCCACCGCCTCCACCACCTCCGCAACCGTCGACAGCCAGAACGGGGGTTGGCGGCCGTGTCTTTACGGAAACGAAGTCTTCGTCGTCGTCGTCCGGGCCTAGGTGCTGCCCTCGAGGCTGCTGTTTTCCTCGCATCCGGGCAGCTCTACCTCCTAACCGGAAATGACACTTTTGTTGCCTCCATCGTTAATTAAATCGAATTGGCTCCGGCGTTGTTACTAATCTCTGATCTATTTCTACATTTCAGATTGTCTATGTCCAATGCTGTTACCGAGTTTTCTGTTCAAATATAGAACAGCTTACAGAAACTTGTTTCACTCATTATTACGTTATGATCCTGACAGACGACACAGTGTATAAATCACATTATAAAACTCACATGTATATTTGCCACTATTAAACCTCATCAGCAAACAGCTCTGTCCTTCATCTTGTGTACTACGTAATCACTACTTCTGATTCACGTGAGCTATGCTCATAAACGGCAGTGACTGACGGAAAACAATGTATAAGCAACATCGTTTGTCTGACATTTAATTCACATTGATAAAATAGAATTTCCGTGTCTTGAAACTGGTTTGTGTTTTGTTAAATACAAACACAGTCACTGAAGAAAGATAGCTGTAGAAATCTATATTTGCAAACAAACTATCAAGTTTCTACATTTTAATTCCGCTGTTTGGAATTGCCTAACAAATCGACAAGACTCAAATCTGCATTCCCACTTTCCATCTACTCACAATTACGTCGTATGTTGTACTTCGAATGTTTTCTTCAACTCATCGCAATGTACCGCCTGAAGAAAGTCCAGCACGCACAAAATGGTGGTTAAACACTTATCCGTAAAGTCACTTGTCTTAACAGTCGCGCAGATGTGCAGGGCCCAGCACGCCGTGTGTCACTTGTTACTCTTCGCCACCGCCACCGCGCACTGCCACGTTGCCCGCTGCGTCTTGGCGGCCGTTTAAGGATGACGTCGCCGTCGGCAACCTCTCACCACGACCATGAAGGAGCAAGTAGAAAAGAATTGATAGCAGGCGAAAAATCTGACCATTCCTTTCTTTTTTTTTAACAACCTCTTTTCTCTTTCCATCTCTCACATGTATTCCTTCTTCGTTCTTCTTCACACAGATTTTCCTTACCTCCCTTTACTTTTCTGGTTAGATACGTTTATGTGGTTGGATTTTGTTGTTGTCGGGCTTCTAGTTTGTTGTTTCGTTCAATTTTTTTTACCCCTTCTGTTATAATTTTTTGAGTTCGTTTGTTGGAAGAGGAAGATGTCACGTGACGTTGCTGTCAACCAATGACAGACCGAGAAAAGACTGAGGAGGTATGATTCAACCCTCTCTTCTTACTCGTAGTATCCATGTGAGTGAATGAGAGACAAGTTGTGCTGAGGGCAGACGTGAAGAGAGAGAGAGAGAGAGAGGGAGGGAAGAGACAGGGAAGGGTAGGGAGTGAGAGAGAGAGGGAAGATGGGAGATAGGAGTACAGTTTTGCTATATCTAACTATAGAAAGACAGAGAGGGAGTGTTGGAGAGAGAGAAAGGCGGGTTCTAAAGACCCCCAAACCACCGCCGATGTGATGGGTTTTCGGTGTGTTGGTGGGCAGCTTGTGCAGTGGGTTTGCCAGCACAGCGGTGTGAAGAGGGGATTCCCCCGTACAAAACGTGTGGAGAGTACTGCGGTGCGGAGGAAGGGAGAGCTGTGACGAAGGAGGGGAACAGAGAAGTTTTTGGAATGATAAAAATTAAGCATGAATAAGAAGGGAAAGTACATTTAAAACTGGAAGACTGCATTTGGATAAAATCTAGTGTTTTCCTCAGGTTAGATATGTTAATCTTTCTGCGTCTTTTATGTTACTACTAAGTGTACCTCTGAAATGGAAGAAATCGCTGTGACCGGTGGACAGACACGCTGTACGACGTCCGTGTGATGTAGGATCACTCACGGGCCTGCTACCGAAACTCAGACGCTCGCAGACAGCAGAGGAGCGTGCGCGGGGAGGGTTGGGGTGAGGTATGGTTAGTTCGCAACTGTCCCGATACCTCGTGTCATGCGTCTTCACTTCGGCGAACAGCGGACCTTAATAACTATTCTACTCATGAAACGCACATGCAAGGAGGGGCAAATATACATAAAGTAGTAAAGTAGTGGAAGGAGGGTGAAGGGTGAGTGGACGAGGGTGAAAAGAGGAAAAGGGAGGGAAAAAAGAGGAAGGCAAAGTTTTGTTTATCCCGCTTGTGAACTGGCGCATGCGCAATTATTCTGATTGCCACGCCGTATACACCGACGACGTCCGTACTGTGCTAGGTCCGTCGGGGTGTCGTAGGCATTGGCATTGTCGTTGAGTGGGTGAAAAAGAAACGGAAGAGAACCCACCCTCGTCTCACCTCCGAACACCCCACACACACACACCCTCTGTTTCTCTTTGACTGTGGAGAAAGAGGGACCTTGATATAAAAGAGGGAGCCTCTAGGGATAAAATAAAAAGAAAACTATAAAATCAGTCTGGCATAACGTAATAAATTTATTATATTTTTAAGAGATTTTATTCTCTTCTTTGTTTACTTTGCTTCTGTGTATAAACGCATGTGTTTTAGTTATGACAATGTCACTGTTTGACCTGAATAAATACGTCTGCATTTATCTGCAGCCAACTTTGGAGTAAAATCACGATGGTGGAATGTTGATGTCTATTACAATCATACAGAATTGTAACCATCATGGCTGCCCGTAATATATTACACAGGTAGATTCTTATCTCGTGTTACGTGATTTTTTTCGAAATTATTTGAGACCTAATCTGAATGTCGTAGAACCTTCGTTTGCAGTAAATTTTGGTAACAAAATGTTTTCGGTGGAACAAACCGAAATAATGAAAAATAAGCACACAGATTATGGCCCTTAGAATAGACCTGACTGTGTGGATAGTGTTCAGTAAAGTGACTGGCTATGAGGTGGAACACCAAAAATAAAAAAGAGAACACTTCCGATATACATTCGTAGAAAGGGGATAATATTAAAATGTGTTTTATAAATATGGGTTGTGAGGCTGTTGGGAGGATTCCACAGGATAACGACCAATGGCTGTCCATTAGAAACTCAGTTTTATAAAGAGCTGGTAAATTATAGCAACTGAGCAACTGTTAGCTTCTGAAAAAGAGCTCTGCTCAGTAGACTTGCAAAGAATCACAAACAGAGATAAAATTAATTACCAGGTAGAGTCTAAACATAACCCATCTGTAAGACTGCAACTGCATAAAGATTTATTGATCCGTTGCTAAGCCGATTTTGAAAGAGGGGCGCGGATTCATCATCCCGAAGACAATGAACAGGCTCTTTCTTACTCGCTGTTTTATTTAACTTCGCTATTTAAGCTTCAATCGACTGTGAGTTGTCAGTGGGTAGGGATATCATATACAGTATTTGTGACCTGCAGAAAGTATCGTCTAGGAAATTAAAGCGATGGCCTGAGGAAAACTATGAAAATTGTCAGTTAGGGTACCGAGGTTTTGAGTAATATTAGTAATTCACTGAAACATTTGGGTCAAATTACAATATACATAGTTAGTATTTTGCTTGGCAGTTCTGTTATTGTTGCTTACTTATCCTGAGTATTCTGAAATTGAATAAGTTGGGCTTCTGTGACGCTGTGTTGTCTGAGCTATTCGCAGTATCGTTAAATGGACCCCAAATAAACAAAATAAAATTCTTAGTGCTGTTATTCAGTCAGTACTACTCATAAAATGACCCATAAAATGTATACGGTGACACATTATGAAATGCCACCATTAGTGGTAGAACATTATTTAAACATTTTAGGTCTAATCCTTCTGGAGGATAATGAATGAATTTCTATTTGATTGAGATCTTCATACAATGAGCTGTGGCCGCCTAACACCGGGTTTTCGCGACCACTGTCCTTAAATAGTTAGCTCTATTAACACTACTTTTTTTATTATACTTATTCCTTATTGCTGATGTATTTCCCTGCCAATTCCAATTTCAAATTCCTAATTTTACTGTGCACCTTACATCTTATTTTTTACAGGAAATTCCCTACAGGCGATATGTGTGGCTCAAAGAATATAAACAATAAAGTAAATTAACAGAAAGCTATAAGGTTTGCTAGACGTAGATGAGAATATAATACTAAAGAGTGTCTTAAGGGAATATTAGGCCTATGCAGAAATGTGGACGTCATTCAATTAGCTCAACGTAGGATCCAGATGTTGGCTCTTGTGAACACGGTAATGAGCCTTAGGGTTCCGTAAATGATGGGAAAATTCTTGACCAGAAGGGCTACTGTTAGCTTCTAGTTAGATAGTTAAGGTCAAATACTGAAATTATACCATTCGAATAAAGTTTTAATAAATTTTTACAGAAGATCATCCGAACATATTATTTATATCTCCCTGTGCCGATGTGGTGTTTGGTGACAATAATGTTGATCGTAAGGATGGGCATTTTGTGAATTATGGCCATTTAATCGTTGTACTTGTTAATTATCGTTTTATAGAATGTAAACTATGGCTCCGGGAAATGTACTAATGTAGATGGGAGTCAGTAAATTACCAAAGTACATACGGCTTTATATTTGAGTACAAACTATCACAACACATCATGTAACATTTTGGTTTCTATGATACAAACAAAATTGACAGACAACACAATGGAAATCGTGTTGGCTCGTTTTAAAATGACGACAAACCCTCTGTATGTGAATGTGGATGTTAGCGACTGTCAACTGTCACCACTTGTGCTGCGACCGGCCGCGGAGAGAGGAGAGTGGAAGAAGAATTATGGCCAGTCGGTAGCCGTAACATAATGTTAGTACAGGTTTCTAAAAGAGAAGAACCATTTCCCCGTTGAAGAGATCATTACATAGCAATAAATTTTCTCCCTAAGGTACTTTTTAACGCCTGTTCTCTCCTCTCCCCCCCCCCCCCCC